TGCTGTTCTCTGCGTTGGTTGGGAAGCATGGCCTTGCCACAAAACGTTGGATTTCACAGCATAGCAATACACAGCTCCGTGACCCTGGTCAATTAAACCTTATAGTGGGAAATCAGCAAAGTACCACACTTTTCAAGTGTCAGTTACTTATTTTTGTACCACCTTCACAGTTTTGCTGTGTCAATGTCCCACTAAGAAAAAAATCATTCTGACCCTTGTTAAACCTTAAAGAAGACTTTATTCAAGACCTGCATTGGGACAAAGGCCTCAGCTCAACTCTGATTAAGAAAAAGACAGCTGGGGATTTATAGCCAACAAACAGAGTGAGAGGGCCAGAGAATGGAAAGTTACCAAAAGAGACTTCAAAAATGGGGGAATTCTTATTAAACTGACCTAACAGGATTTTTGCTAGAGGCAGGTCAAGGACTTATATATCAAAGGTGTGGGGTGAAGAACTTGATCAGATTTGAACTGGGCTGGGCAGGTCAAAGACAGGACAGGGGGCCAAGGTTAGGACCTAGTGGAAATGAGGGCTCTGAAGAGCCTGAGGAAAGTTTGGTCAGGAAGAGAGTCTTTGTCACCTCCTGGTATTATCTGATATGTTTCTTTAAATTGACTTTAACTTTAGCTTCATGCATAAGTTGAGGAACTAGTTATATATATTTTTCTAATACTCATTAAAATGGGTGCACATTATTCAGAATTTAGGATCATTGGGTATCATCTAAAATGTCTTGTGTATCACCACTGGCATACATTCCACACTTCAGGAAATGTTGGTTTTACAAAGAACACAGAGATGCTGATTGAAAGGCTGTATTTCAGCTCTGGCCCATATGTTGGCTGTTAGCTCTAAGCTGATTACTTTGGGGCACCTCTTGAGTCTCACAGAAGGGGCTAAAGACATTTTCATGGAGAGTGGAGGAGGGAGTGAGGTAAAAGCAGGGGCCTGAGCTCCAAAGCTCCTGGCCTCAAAGCTTCCCTACTCCCGCTGCCCAGATGTGGAGTTGGACCTCCAGCGGAGCGTGCAGGCCGTGCTCCGGGAGCTCAGCGCTCAGACCCCAGCCCTGCAGAGAAACCAAGGTAAGAGCCTACAGGTATCATCCTTCTGCTTCCCCTGCACCCCACACCAGTCACCTCTGCCCACACATTCTCCGGAAAATGCCTGAGCACGGAGCTCACAGAGTGAGGGTCTTCAAGCTGAGCCCTCATTCTACTGGAAATCCCTGAAGCCCAAAGGACCCAGAAGACTTCTCTGCCCCTGCTCTCCCTGGCAGCCACTGTGGCAGAGCGCCTTGGGGATCTGCAACTCGGCTTGCAAATAAAATTCCCCTGGACCCACCAGGCCCACATGTCTTCCATAAGCCGTATGCACCTACCTCTCCCCGCTAGTGTCCTACCTTCCCTCTATTCTGTCCTGAGAATTCACAGTCCACCAAGGGAAGCATATCAGAATTCCCCCACACACAAGCAGCCCACACATGCGTACCTGGAGCCAAGCACCCAGCTGAGGGGTGAACCCTGTGGCTGGTCAAAGTCATGGTCTAGGACTCCAGGACTCAGGGCCCTGCTCAGAGGGGTCTCCTCTAAGAGCTGCCTGGCCCGCCTGGTTGTGCGGGGCTCCCCTTTCTTCTGGTCCAGGTATGTGGAGATGGTCCCTGCACAAGAAGGTCGAGCGAGATCCTGGTAAGAGTCCGGCGCTGGTCCGAATTCTGCTCAGAGAACTGGAGAAGGTGGGTTCCCGGGCTTCAGGAGGCCAACAGGAATTAGAGGAAGAGAGGCCAATCCACTGTGGCCTCAGTCCTATCAGTGCTGCGTCCCCCAAACTGTGGTCATTTGTGGGCCATCTGCATCACTTTTACCCCATGTGTCTCCCTCCTGTACTTTTCTATAAGCAATATTTTCTTGACATTGACTCCTATTGTTTAATCTGAGCTAACAGATTTCTAAAAGAAACTATAACACGACCATCAATGGAAAATCCATATCACTTGACAGAAACAAAAAGCACCTAAAAACATAAAACGTAACTATTAAAAATGTTCAAAATAATCCACCTAAAGTTATCCTCCACACCTCCCAGTGCTCTGCATATGACTCTTTGGGGAACACTGTACTCAAGGGGGCCTCCAAGCTGGGTCTTTCTTGTCACTTTGCTGCCTGCCCCTGCCCTGAGTCAACGCTGCCCCTCTGCCATGGAGTTCCCTGCACCCCTCCTCCCACGCATTCACACTTGGACTCCTACACCTGTGCTCTCTCCCCCTCTCTCACTCCTTCTCTCCTAGAGCAGACTGTGGCCCTTTTCCATTCTCCTTGGCATAGTAGGATGCTGCCTTCCACCCCCCAAACTGCCTCCTGCTAGGATGTGCCCCCTCCGTCCCCAGGACAATAAATGTCCCATAATCCCCTGTTTTCTAGGCAGAAAGGGAGGACGAACGGCATGTCATCATTCCCTTGCTGCACACTCTAATGTACGTGCTCACGAAGGTGAGCTGGGGCTGAGGGGCGGGGTGGTCATGGTGATACATGATGAGTGACTGGGCTGGACACTATCCTTGCCCCTCAGTGGACACCCAGGAGCCTAGGAGAACTCTTGGATTGCCTGCCCCCTCCCTAACAGATGAAGACACGAAACTGGGTTGGAAAGGGATTTGCTGGAGGAAGAAGTTAGGATGAATTTCCCTCTTGGGAAGTTTGAGTGGGGTGTCAAAGAGGTGATGTCTTACAGACACTGGGAGAAGAGGCTAAAGGTATAGATTTGGAGAGAAGTGTAGTCCAAGTCCTACTGTCAGGTTCCACCTTCCTCCTCTCCCACCCCACCCTACCCTACCCTGATCCCTTTGTGACCTCTGGCACCTCAATTCCTCCCTGTCACACAGGCCACAGGCATCACAGAGGAGCTCTACCGGAGGACTTACGCCTTTTGCATGAGATTACTGACCCTGCCTGCCCCCTACTGCACGGTCGCTCTGGATTGCGCCATAAGGCTGAAAACAGAGCAAGCTGTCCCAGGTAGGAGCTGCTGGCAGCTTCATCTCCCACACTGCAACTCAGCTTCATCCAAGATCTTACACTTGTCTCCAAGATTCTGGGGAGCTCAAAAATCTCAGCACCCTCTGTGGGAAGGTGGGAAGTGGGGGTCAGAGAATTCAACTGGCCGGCTGAAGTGGTCTGCTTTGCAGGAACGCTGTGCCAAAGGCTGGTCATTGCCGAGCAGAACTTAAGGAGTGAACTGTATCCCTACCAGGAGAGGTGAGTTGCCGGGAGAGGTTGCTGCCTTCCACTCCACCCAGGTGTTGGGTCTGTGTGACTGCTCACTTCCAGGACGACAAAAGAGGAGGCTGGCTTGAGAGGAACCCCAGCACAGCTACCCATCCATGACATTTGTCCAGCAGTGGGGTGTGTTTTCAAGGTGGATGGGGTGTGTCCTTCCTTGGAGACCACTGAAGGCAGAATAAGTCTTTCTTCTTGAGCTACATTCAGAGCTCTCCTGCTCACATGCAGAGGGTGGGCAGGATCACTGACCACTCTGGAGTTCTGCTGTTTCACCTCCAAAGTGCTCTTGGCTATGATGTAGCATCAACCAGCCAGGCAGCCAGAGGCAGCTCCAGAATATGTACATAGTGGGGGGAGTTCAAGCAATAATCACACAATAAAATCTGCAGGCTTCATCTATGTGTGCCTGACTCTCTAGATAAGATTGAGGAAATGTCCACTGTCTCTGTTAGAGACAGAGACTGATGCATTGGGGGTGCATAGTACCTCTGCTGAAAGATACGACTTGAGGCTCTGTTCATGGACGGTGCAGGAAGATGAAGGGATCCTAAGCACTGGAGAGATTGGGAGGACACAGTTGAGTGGGGAGGAGAGGGTAGGTGAGGTTGGTTTTCTGGTGTGATAAGGGTGATGAGAGAAGATGGAACTCACTCAGGGTTCAGAGCTCCAGTTTGGGTGGGAAGGGTGTAGGGCCTCCTAGAGGGCATGGTTAACGAGCCATGATGCTGAGGGAGGAGGCAGGATTTAGGTTGAAAAGTACCTAGACACAAAACTAAAGGGACTGAGAAGGACCAGCTGCCTCTCTAGAAGGGCCACGCATGCTCTTATTTGCCACAGTCCCTACCACTTCCTATTCTTGTTCCCTCCATAGATTTTTTTTTAACTTGAAACAACTGTTTTTTGAGGATGTAAAAAACTTAGGGGGCAGAAAGGCTCTGAGAATACGCCTCCAATAATTCTTCCAGTCCTTATCCTCATCAGCACCAACCCCCTCCATCTCTGTCCTCAGAGTGTTCCTCTTTGTGGATCCTGAGCTGGTATCTCCCTCGGTGTGCAGTGCCCTGCTGCTGGAGATCGAGGCAGCCCAGGTGCAGCAGACACCTGAGGCCTGCATGCGCTACGTGGTGTCCCATGCCCTGCAGGTGGCTCTGGGGGAGGCCTGCCACACAAGTGCTCTGCAAAGGAAGCTGCAGGTAACTGCCCTTCCCCTACCCTTGTTGGTTCCAACCCAGGGCCCTGCATGCCCACACCAATTGCTCATTCTACTGTCTTCTTCCCTCTCCTGTTGCCATATAACCTTCTCCTAAATCAAAAATTAAAACACGTTCAGTAAGAAAAATCTGAAAAAATGCAGATAAGTCACAGAAGAAAATAAAAATCGCTCACACCCCTCTACCTAAACATATTAGCAATTAACATTTTGGTATATTTTCTTACTAATAATGACAATAATAATCATAATAGCTACTGTTTATTGAATGTCTGCTGTGTTCCAGGCACTGTGTTAAGCACCTTACATGTATCTCATTTGAAAATTCTCACCACAAAATCGTGAAATGGATATCACTATCAAAACTAAGATATTGATAACCTTGTGGTCACACAAATGCAAAGTGACTGAGCCAGGATTTGAACTCAGATCTGACTTCAAACCTATGATCAGTAGTCTCCCAGATCCACTCCCCTGCCACTCCTTTTTAACAAATTGAGATGTCAAACTCTGTATACAGTTTTATATTCTGCATGTTTATGTGCACATATATAATTCGTTTCCCAAGCCATTGGAAATACGCCATATGAAAATATTTTCCTTGGAAAATACTTCTAATGGTAGCAAATATTCTCTCTTGTGAATGTGTTGTTTTTATGTAAGACAAGTTGCCTGTTCCTGTTGTGGGCATTTAATTTCTTTCCAACACTTACCCATCTATTTCCTCGTATTCTCTCTGACTCACAACCATGACCCCGTCCACAGCCAAGGCTTCAGTAGGTAGAAGATCCTCTGGCCAAGGGTTTTATGTACAGTGGATTTCACAAAGGTGATATGGCAGGTAGGAGAGGATGTTGTCTGGGGCGGTGAGTCCAGCACTTGGGGATGACATTTTTGCAGGGAAAGGCTCCTGTCCTCCGGGAAAGGCTGGACTGGGTAATGGCTAAGGTTCTGAGTGGCTTTGACTCAAAGTTGTGGTGCTGCCACTGCAGGATGGGGCAGGTGCCGGTAGAGAGGGTGTCCTCAAGGGGTCAGCTATCACCTGCTTCTCCTGCCCCAGGAAGTGGGTGTCAGTCCTTTTGCCAACGCATGTCTCAGACTCTGCTTTGCCCATCAAAATGCACTAGATGTGTTGCCCTTCCTTCTCTCATTTTCCATCTTGAATCATCTACATCTTGTATTCTTCTTTTGATAGGTGTCTTTTATGTAGGGCTATGTCCTTCCTTAAACCATGTTGATTTCATTGTTATCATTCCTTTTCTCTAAAAGTACCATTCACACCTTTATTTTTATTTATTTATTTATTTTAGGCGAGGCAACCCTTCGCTGACCTCACAGATTGCAAGGACCTTGTCAGCTTACACTCCCTTATTTTTTTTTATTTTTTATTTTTTTATTTTATTTTATGCCTACAGCACTTGGTCTTCCTATGTGGTCTCCCATCCAAGTACTAACCAGGCCCGACCCTGCTTAGCTTCTGAGATCAGACAGGATCTGGCTTGTTCAGGGAAGCATGGCCGTAGACTCCATTCACACCTTTAGCATATCATTCCTTTGTGGTTGCCCACCCACTTGGACCTGTAGAGGGTTCTTGATTCACTTCCTCCACCCCACCAAACTTGACATCTCTCCTTCTGTATCACCTCCTTTTGGGAGTTCACAGCACACAGTCACATCGTGGAGTAATTGCCCCCTCCACGCACACATATGCTAACTTGTACCTAAGCCCCATTGTGGTTCTAGCACAGACATCTATGGCCCCTATGTGGGCTACTGGGCGTCCCCTCTCCCTGCGATGAGCCATGGCTCTCAGGAAGGTGGGTAGAGGAGGGGAAGAGCTGTCCTGACCAGAATTTGGTTGCTGACTCCTCCACTCCTCCAGTGGCTCTGGCAATTGCTTCTGGCTCACCAAACAGTCCATAGTAAAGGCACCATTTCGACACAACCAATCCAAACACGTAAAAACATTAATTTTTGTTTCTCAGTGATATGGAGAATAGATGATGCCAAGCCTCACTCCACCCCTGAGTTGGATATAGCTGGGGCTCGGGAGTAGGCTTAGGAATAAGGCCAGTCTGGGTTTGAGGGTTTCAGGAATGGAATAGGATTGGAAGGTATCAGGACAGGAATAAAGTAGGGTTCAGGGCTGGAATTAGCAGGTCTGTTGCATACACTATTTTGCAATAAAAAATGCTGAAAGTAAAAGCTGTATTTTTTAGTCATAGGCAAAATGTTAGGCACCCCACCCCTACCTCATGTTATCCAGAGCCCAACGCTCTGAGTCCCCATTTTTGCATATAGAGAATTAAGAGGAGGAGAGAAAGAATTGCAAGGAGAGGCTTAGGGAATACATCACTGATCTCAAGTTAGAGATTCTCAGAAGCTTAGAGTTAAGAGGTCCTCAACAGTCCCCTGGCACCTATCCTCCCACATTGGGTGCTGGGGCTCCTAGACATCAGGCTGGCCTGGAGCTCTCTAGCACATGTTGACCACCACTCTCCACCCTCCTGAGACCTTTCGCCCCCTTATCTGAAATTCTGCCTCTTGAGACAGCTTTAGCGATGCCATTCTCAATCATCCCTGCTAGATAGAGGACAAGTGGAGCCTGGGAGAGGTGGCTCAGCCAGCCATGGTCTGGTGAGTAAGCCTTATCTGACCATCAGCCCACATCCTATATGCTGAGGACCTGGTTTGAGGCCCAGGTGGGGATTAGATTTGTCTTCCCACATTTCCAGGGAACCAGTTGACAAGGTCTTGACACTGGGAGGTCAGCTTGGGACAACCCATCTCTCTGACTCTCTGCACTATGTTCTAGATGCTAGAGATGGGTGTCTCCAGCTAGGTCAGCGCCATGTGGGGTCAGGGCAGCAAGGACCAGGGGAGGCTTCTTTGAGAAGCCTTGAAGCCAGGGATTTCTGGAGAGATGTGGGAACAAGGCCAAGGAAGGCATCTGGAGACATAGTTTGAGAGTCAGCTCTCAGTGGGTTAGCAGCAGGACTGTGAACCAGCCATAGCTTTTCAGGATCTAATTTGCCTCATTTCTTCATTCTACTGAGCTCCAGAAAGAGCTTGCCCACAACTGGTTCTATAGGAAGCTCTGGAACTGAGCTCACCTTTCAAAGTTGTCCTGAATTAGGGTGAAGGGGCCAGGGTTTTTTACTTCCACGACTACTAGTTATTAGGTGGGGACTGTCTTCAGGAAGGGGGGTATGACCTTGGAGAGGTGACTTTCTTCAGTTGAGGGCAATTTTGGAGAGAGACTCAGCTGAGAGCTGTCAGCTGCCAACACTCCCAGCAGAGAGGCTAATAAATGCCTTAGTCCTGAAAATGGGAATCCGGGTAGTCACCATGGCATTTATCATATCATTTCACTCAGAGTCAAAGCCAAAGTCATTACAATGGCCTATAAGACCCTCATGATCTGCCCCACATCCTCATTTCTATCGCTTATCCATCTCCTATATTCTCTCTTTTTCTCTCTGCTTTAGCTACACAGGCCTCCTTATTGTTCCTCAAACACGCCAGACACATTTACACCCTGGACCCCGGGGCCCTTGCACTTGCTGCTCCCCCGTGCTTGGAATGTTCTTTTGGATGTACGCATTTCGCTCCTTCACTTCCTTTAGGTCCTTACTCAAAAGCAATTTTTCAGCGAGGCTTCCCTGATCATACTAAAATTTTAGCCTCTCCCCAAAATTCACATCCTCCTTTTCTGTTTTATTTTATCTTCAACACTTACTGTTATTTATTATACTATAAATTTTACTTATCTTGTTTATCATCTACCCCCAGCCTCACGGAGACACACTATACTATAAGATCCATGAAGACAGGAATTTTTGTCTGTTTTGTTCCCTGCTATACCCCAGCACCTAGAACAGTGCCTGGCACATAGTGGATGCTCGATAAATAATTAATATATAAGATGAAGCACTAAGATGAGACGATCCCTATGGCCCCTTCCAACTCTGATTCCATATGCCTCTAAATGTGTTTGTTTATTCAGTTAATTGTTCAGCAAATATTTATTAGAGTCCTAGCTAGTGTGAAGGACTCACACTGCCATAGCTCAGGAAGTTGAAACCCCACTCAGCAGACCTCTAGCTCAGACGAAAGATTAGAGCAAGCTCTGTTGTGCCTGCTCATGTCACTTGTTTGGACCCTGAAACTCCAGTTATAAGATGAGATTAGTTGGTGGGGGTCAGGGGTGAGGGAAGACAGCCAGAGACCATGATCTAGGGTACTTCTTCTCAGAGTGTCAGAGCTATACCACTGGAGGCAGGAGGCTGCCATGCTAAAGAGCATGGAATGGCACCATGAGAAACGCTTTCAAAACACGTTTCTATTAAGGAGAAAGGCTTGTCTTTGTGCTTTGCCCCTAACCTCTTTCACACTTACTAATCTCCCTTTTTAAAAAGAGAAAGCAAGTTTCAAGCTCTTAAGCCTTGGCAGATTGTGGTACCTGGCTAGAATTTAATATAAAGCTTTGTGATCATTATATTCATCTTAGCTATTTTCTATTTATGACAAGTGACACTAGCCTTTTTATTTAGAGTAGCAATATAAAGTTTCCTTTTGAAATACTTTTGAACCAAAAAAAGTGAGCTGATTTAAAGAAAAATAACTAATAAATAATAGTCTAAGTGCTATGGCAAGGCAGTATAAGAATGACAGTTTAGGCAATACTCAAAAATATTTATTGAGCACCTACTATGTGCCAGGAGCTGTGCTAGATGCTGAGGATGCAGCTGTAAATAAAACAGACAAACCTTTGCCTTCCTAGAGTTTACATCCTGGTGGGGCAGAACGTTGATCCAAGTGCTTGGTGACGATCTAAGGAGAGTGGGCGCCATCCCTGCCCCATTCGGTTTCCAACATTGCGGGTCACCAGCTATCTCCCCACATCAGGGTGTGCGAGGTAGAGGGCCCTGCAGTTGCAGGCGGCATCTGGCAACAGCTGTGGCAAGTCAGGAGCGGTTCCCTGGCTGTGCGGCTCCGACGCCTTGGCGCGGAAGCTCCGTCTGGCGCCCCCCACCCCCTCCCGGGCAGAGGGGAGGTGCCAGGTTGAACAGTCCGTGCACCTGTAGATTTGCGTCGGAGTTGGGGTGGATGGTTGCTGGGCTGGGATTCAGGCTCTAACGCTCCTCTCCGACAGGCCAGCCCCCGCCGCGCCCTGGAGCACTATTTCCATGCAGTGGTAGCAGCCACGGAGCAGATGGCTAGCGAGACCAGCCCGAGCCGGGAAGGACACCTGGAAAGGCTGGAAGAGATTTACTGCTCGCTGCTGGGGCCGGCGGCGGCCGCCAGGGGACGCTGCAGCGGTAAGTGGCGGGCCGACCAGCTGGAGCAGCAGGGCCCGGCCCAAGTGCAGTGAGCTGCGGTTGGAGGACCCTGCAGGGGGCGCCGGAAAGACCGCTGTACCTGCCAGGAGTCTGGGTGACTGAGGCCGGGTGGGACACTTGGCCGCCCCTAGGAACCTGGGGACTGAGGGTGCCCAGGAGCTTGGAAGGTCCTGGATTAAAAAGGTGGGTAATTTGGTCATAACCACTGACATCTGCAAGGCACCTCCTAGACCCCAGTAAAGTGTTCTAAGCACTTTACGTATATTCGAATATATTACATATATTAAATCAATTAATCCTCATAGTAAACTTATGAGATATGAAAGTATTATCTCCATTTTAGAGATGAGAAAACTGAGAAAGAGGCTATAAATCTTGCCAAAGATCACCAGCTAATAAGTGACAGAGCCAAGATCCAAACACAGCCTCTAGTTCTTAACCACTATACTATAGTAACCAAAGGATCTCATGGGCCAGGAAGGCTCTAAAGAGTATCTAAAATAGCAGCAGAGTCAACATCGCTTACATCTGGTATCATCGATTTTTGTTCCACACGCTTCCTATTTGCATTTTTATAAGACAATGCCATTTACTCAAGGGAAGCAAGCTCATGTGGGTTGGGAAACCCTAAAGAACCCTGAGAAGTGTCTTGGAACAAGTCTTTCTGGCTGTTGGAGGATGATTCTGATTTGTGTCCCATTTCATGGTCTCCCAAAGCACCCATGGAATCTGTCAGCCTGCATGTCGCAGAACACACCATGCACCTTAGGCATATGGTACTGACCTAAGGACTAGAAACCGTGGGCAGAGATAAGTATGCCAGCCCTGGGGCTTGACCTTGGCAGCCCAGGGATGGTGGAAACCGCAGAAGTCAGGGTGAGGAAGACAGGGTGCCCGCCCTCCGCAAAGACTTTCTCTATCTTTCCAGTCTTCTGTTCTCTTGTTTTGCTTTAATATTCTATACCTCTGTATACTTCTGTGCCTCTATTAATAACCACATGGAAATGTCCGTTCATGAAGCCTCCCTCCTCCTGAAGCTGGGGCAAACCCAGAGGCAAATCTGGCTTTGCTCTCTTTGGGTACAACTTGCTAACTCAGCAGTAACTCTGCATGGACAGGATGAGACCTGGTCTAGAACACCCCTACCCTCACAGCCACATCCAGCACCTGCCTCCTACTATGACTTGTCCTACACATCTTAATAACCAGCCAGCACCCTTGTTGAGCCCCTGCTGCTACGGGGGCATCATGGTACAGTGGTTGTGAGCACAGTGTCCTGGGTACTCTGAAGCCGGGCTGCCTAGACTCAAATTCTGGCTCTACCACTTACTGTGTGGCCTTTGGCCACTTACTTAACCTCTCTGTACCCCCAGCTCCTCCTCTGTAAAGTGAGGATAATCATATTACCTGTGGCCCAGGTTCACTGGCAGGATCTGCTGATGGCAATGTGTGCCAGGTGAGAACAGTGCCTAGAAGTAGTAAGTGTTCTGTGAACATTGATTTGTCTCCCTTAAAGAAGCTTGCAGCCTTGTTAGGGAGGGAGCCATGCTATGATGAAGTTAGACCCTAAAGGTACCCATTAGGTGTGCCCAGTGTGCAGCCAGTAAGGTTTGCTGGGGAGAGAATGACCACCAGGGCTGGAGAGGTCAGGATGTCTTCCAGAAGGAGGACAGGGGGAGGGGCTGGGCCTGGTCTCCCCATGGACTTCTGGGTTCCTGCTGTCCTTAGTACTTGGCTGATGAGCTCTCTTCAGCATTACCCACAAGAGCAAACATTAATTGAGTGTTTGCTGTGTGCAAGCCACTGGAAGAGACCCTGAGAAACACAGAGGCCTTTCCCCACTCATCTGGATGTAGGCAGAATGTCTAGGAACAATGAGAAAGGCAGTATGGCTGCAATGTGGGGTTAGAGGAGGGATTAACAATAGGAGAAAAGGTTGAGAAAAAAAACTGTGGGCTGATTTGTGAAGGGTCCTAAAGGCTGAGCTAGAAAATTTGCAGGAAACACGGAGCTTCTAAGCATTCTTGTGCAGAGGGGACCGCTGCGGTGTTAGGCCCTGGATGAGCCAATAGTGGCAGAGAAGGAGAGGAACCCAACAAGAACAGATATAGGAGGGTGAAGGTCTTCGCCACCCCCTCTAGACCCCACACAGGAGCTAGGAGTAGAGTAGGGTGGGGAGGGGAAGGCAGAGGAGAATCCAACAACCCTCTCCTCCATGGTCTCCATAGCCTGCTCCTTCCTTCAGGTGACCCCCTTCCAGACCGGCCACCAAACATCCCTCTGCCCAGCCCACACATCACCTTCCACCTGTGGACAGATGAGGAGCAGCTCTGTAAGTGCCATGCTTTGACCTCTTCCATGGAAGCTGGCTGAAAACAGTGGCATATGTGTGTATCTGAGTCTTTGTGTGTGTCTCTGTGCATCTGTGTATGTGTGTTTGTGTACATGTGTGTATGTGTGTGTACATGTCTGTGTCTTTGTATATTTGTTTGTCTGTGTGTGTCTGTGTATGTATCTATATGTGTCTGTATGTGTATCTATTGTGTCTGTGTGTCTTTGTGTATCTCTATATCTATTGTGTGTGTCTATGTATGTCTTTGTGTGGGCATCTGTGCGTGTCTAGGTTGTATCTGTGTTTATCTGTATGAGTCTGTGTGTCTCTCTGTGTGTATACATCAGTGTGTTCCTTGTACCCTGAGTTGTTCTGTACGTCTGGAAGAAGAATGCATTTTCTCTGTCAGAATAGTTTGGTTCATTAGCCACTGGTCTCACATGTCTAGAAAGTACCACATGCCCATGATGATGCCAACAGACAATGCAAGTGCCCAAGAAGGCAGTCACAAAAGAAGTTATGGTTCCTGAATCTGGAGGGGGGTGTCTTTCAGAGAGACCTGATCACCCACACTTTCCCTCCACACTGGTGTTCCTGTCCCACTGTCCCCCTGGCTCTTGTCAAGGGAGAGGGAAAGACAAAGGTGCCGGATGCAGTGGGTAATGCTGGACTGGTGAACAGGGTTCAAGTCCGTCATTTCCTTTCACATGCTGTGTCACCCCAGACAGACTTAGTTTTCTCTCTGGGCTTCAATTTCCTCATGGGAAATAAAATGAAGATAGTATAGAAAAGCCTGGGAGTCTTTCCAGGAACTGATGGTCTGTTATCTGTGTCTCAGGGGAAGGATGATCAGAGAATAGGAGGATGCTGATGAGCAAATGTGAAAAAGAGAGCTCTAGGAGTCAGGAGGTACTGGGTTAAGCTGATTTCTTTACTGCAGGACTTTTCAGAGCCTTTAAGATGTTTACTGACGGAACTCAACAAGAGGTAACAGGCATGTGTGGGGTTCTCAGTCTGTTGGTCACAGAACCTATGTCCCTTCATGGAGCATCTAACACATGTTCAGCTGAACAGTGTTTGAGAAACATGGAACCCCAGGCCTTGCCAGGGTAAGGCCCTGCCAGCCTCCTGTACCCTCTCCCTCCTAACGGTCCCCTTGTTCTCTGCATCCCAGGGAAGGAACTGGCTCTCTTCCTATGCCCGCAATCCCAAGTGCGCCTCAGCGCTGACTTGGAGGCCTTGGATCTGCAGGGCCTTCAGCCAGACAGGATGCTGGCCCGGGCGTCCGTGCTGTCCACCGACAGTGGCATCGAGCGGGACATTCCTTTGGGAGCCGACGAGCTGCCCATGCCCAGCAGCCCTGAGATGGAGCATGCTGGCCTGCAGCGAAAAGGGGGCATCAAGAAGCGGGTGTGGCCCCCTAACATCTTGATGCCCTGCAGCTGGGATGGGCCCCTGGGGCTGCACCAGAGAACTGGCAGGCCCAGTGGGAATTGGGGACTGCTGCCCGGTGTCTCCCGCCTGCACACGGCCCGGGTGCTGGTACTGGGGGACGACAGGATGCTGGGGCGCCTGGCCCAGGCCTACCACAGCCTCAGGTAGGGCCCCAAGGAGGGCGGCTAGGGTGGGGCATAGTCAGGACACAGTTGGGCCTGGCATGGGCTGGTGAAGGATCAAGGAATGGCTAGGGAGGATCAGGAAGCAGAAGCCAGGATAGGATTGGGGAGGGTGGTGCACAGTGAGCCCATTCCATAGATGAGAAAACAGAGACTAGAGAGATCAGGTAAATCAATAGTCAAGAGATAACTAAGAACGGAGCCAGGATGAGGAACCAAGTCTGTTTGAAGCCAAAACTCCTGCCCTCATCCCTGTGTTCTGCTGTTCCTTCCCAGGAAACGAGAGACCCAGATGTTCTGCCTCACTCCCAGACTCAGCCTGCAGCTCTATTACATCCCTGTGCTGACACCTGAGGTGGCTGGATGGGAAGGGAGGGATGGAGGGGGTGTCAGGAGCAGGAGTCTGGGTTAAGGGATGGGCAGGGCTACACTGCAGCTCTGCCTCCCCTGGCTCTGAGAAGTAGGGTCACCCTTCCTCAGGATATGGAGTTGAGAGAGACCTCAGAGGTCAACTGTTCCAGAAGACACAGACGTGGGCCCTGTGGGTTGAATGTGGTCAGAGAGATGTTCTCTCACAGTGGCAGCCTTCCCATTGCTGGTTTTCATTTTGTATTTCTAATGGAATTAGTTGCAGAGAGCATTGTTATTGGAGAGCATTAAATTCAAAGCTACCCTTGTCTCTTCCCTTTCAAGGCTGATGCTCATTTTTCAAGTGGTCCTGGCAAGTGGCCCTCAGAAAAGGGTATTCTAGCTTCTTCTGAGGTAGTAAACAAAACAATCTTTCCATGGTTCAGAAATAGCCCCAAGAGACTGATTTGACCACATTCCCAAAGCTGGTACCTGGGGACCCTCCAGCCAATAAGAGTGTCAGAGAGAGGGCCTGAGAGGCCAGCCTCATCCCCTTATCCCCAGAAGCCCGCATCATCCAGGCATTTGGAGCTCGGGGAGCTGGCAGCGTTCCTGGGCCGTGCGGACCCGTGGTATGAGAGTACCATCAACACCCTGAGCCCAGCCATCCACAAGCTCGCAGAGATGGTAGGGGCAGCAAAGGTAGGAGGGTGGGAGGGAGATGGGAGGGGGCTATTTTAGATGCTACTCTTGACCCTGGACCTCAACAGTCAGCCCAGGGGCACAATGGTGGAAGGAGGAAGGAAAGGAATATAGGAGAGGAGCCCTGACCAGCTAGGGGTTGGAATTTACCTGGAACACTGACCAGGCACCTATAGTCAGCCCTGCATATCCACAGGTCCTACATCTGGGGATTCAACCAACCCCAGATAGAAAATATTCAGAAAAAAAAGTTACTTTGTTGCTGACGTGTACTATGTAGTTAGGACTATGATGGTTGTGTCTGCACTGAACATGTACATACTTTTTTTCTTGTCATTATTCTTGTCCTTAAGCAATACAGTGTGACAACTGTTTACATAGCATTTTCATTGTATTAAGCATTATGAGTAATCTAGAGGTGGTTTAAAGTGTACAGGAAAATGTGCATGGTTATATGCAAATACTATACCATTTTATATAAAGGACTTGAGCATCTTTGGATTTTGGTATCCAAGGGGGTCCTGGAACAAGTCTCCTGCAGATATCAGGGGACAATTGTACATTGGACAGGACCACTATGGAAAAGATGAAGTAAAACATTTTTTCTTAAGTGAGTAAGCCAGTTATATTCCTTTTTTTATCAGTTTCCTGTGATGATTTCTCTGTGATTCTAGTAGCTAATGCTTCTTGAACACTTCCATGTGGCAAGCACTTACACACAGCATCCCCACCAAGTAGATACTCTTGTCCACAGGTGTTGTTGTTGCCATATCCTCATTTTTCAGATCAAACAACTGAGGCACAAAGAGATTAGATAATTTGTCTCAAGTAAGAAAATGCGTGGTAGAGTCTCACCTGGAAGCAAGCAGTTTGATTCCAGAGCACGTTCTCTTAACCACAAACACAGTGCCAGCCCCTAACCCTGGCCATCCATGGGGAAGGAGTTAATCTTTTACTCATCTAAAAAGCCCTTTATATATTAAGAGAATCTTACCCTTTTTGTGGTCATATGTGTTGCAGACATACTATTCCTCTTTGTTATTTGCTATCAACTATGTCAGTAGTGTTTTTTGATCTTCAGAAGTTTAATATTTTTTTGGAATGCATATTCTCTTTATTTAAAAAAACTTCTTTATCAAGTTCATATCCCTTCAAGAAGCTATATTTACTATCAAATTTAATATATACTTTGTTTACAAACATTGCAATATATCTAACATTTCATTTCTCTATGTTTTACTAAAGCATATATTCATGCATTAATTTATCAATTTAATAGTTATATTAGTAACATAATCTACTTTTGTGGAAATATATTAAAGAAAAAAGAGGACATATGTCAATTTGATTTGACTCGTCACAATTCTAAACAAAGAAAAGAGGACTTGGTTAAATAAGTTTAATGTTTCATTAAAAATAACTTTTATTTTTACCAAATAAATGTGTGCACACATATTTAAAATGCAAATAAGTTTAAAGTTTAAAAACCTAAAGAAATATACTCTTTGGCACCAGTACAGGAGAGGAACCACTTTCAACTTTTTAAATTTTTATTTTACTTTTGCATTTTTAAATAATGTGCGTATGGCTGTCTCATGATTTCTGTACTTCGACCTTACTGATTGGCTTTTTGTTGCTACACATGAAGGTTTAAACTTTCTTAAAACCCTAAAATTCTTTACTTTAATTCTTCAAAGATGTTTAATATTTTTATACATAGCAATTTTATGCTTTGAAAGGCCTTCTTCATTGATTAAATGATATCCAAGATTAAATAAATATTCACTAATATTTTAACACTTTTAATACCTCAATTTTTACAGTTCAATAACCCATCTGCAATAATTTCAGCGTTTAGTGTGAAATACGTAATTTCATATTTTCCAAATGGTTAGCCAGTTGTCCTAAGCTATTTTTTGCATAAACCATTTTGACCTATCAATTTAAAATGTCACTTTTATCAGTCACTAAATTCTTACATATGCTTGAGTTTATTTCTAGATACTTATTCTTTTTCATTAATTTATTCATTTCTGTACGAATTAGCACTTTCATATTTTGATAGCTGTCAGAGTAAGCCTATCCCATTACTCTTCTTTTTCAAAACTTTTCAGACTATGCTTATTTATGTTTGTTTCCAGATTAATTTTAGAATTTTGTTGTCATTTTTTAAAATTATTTTGGGATTTGGATTGAAATTTAGAGGAGAATTAGCATCTTTAACATATTAAATCACCCTCTCTGGAAGTGTGGTATAACTCTTTGTTTATTAAAATCTTCTTGTATATCTCTCAGGATGGTTATACAGTTTTCATTGTATAGCTTTTACCATTTCTTGCTAAATTTACCTTTCATGTTTGAAGTTTTTTCTTGTAGTTATGGATGGTATCTTTCTCCCATTATATTTGGGTAGTAGTTACTGCTAATATAAACAGAACCTATTGATTTTTATGTATTTAATTTTAAACTTGCCATTTAACTGAGCTCTGTATGTTGTGTCATTGCCTGATTGGTACCTTCTTACATCTTTTATTCTAATAAAGATGTTCGGGGGAGGTATGTTTTCAGAATTATTGCTTATCTGAAAATGTCTGCATATATATGAAACACTGTTTAGCTGGGTATTAAAATACCTTTTCCTTGAAACGTGAAGGACATTGCAGGAGGAACATCTAATGCAGGTCTTATTTATGCACCTTTGTTGGTAGCTTTTCCCCTGCCAGGACACATGTAGGATTTTGGGTTTTCCCTGCTCTCCTTCCCTCTTATAATTAATAATTTATATGGCCCTTATACTTATTTTAAAAGCAAGTTTCCACATGTAAAGACTGGAAACAGTGTGAGCAATGACAGCATCATTAGAATAAGTTCATAGTTCTTCAGCGTGACCTTTTTGAAGGAAACAGTATTTCAATAGACCAGATATGAGAATCAGAAGAGATATTATAGGATAGGATACAAGATAGATTAGATAAACTCTGAGCTTCTTTCCAACTCAGATACTATCAGAGTCTATTTAGACATTCTGTTCTCTTTACCTAAAAAACTCAATCATTATGCTTTATAATTGTATGGGGTTGGGGAAGGTCTGTAAGACATGGCACTAGTCCTTCCCAATAACAAATAAACACTAATTAATTAATATATTCAGATATATCAGATCATCTGGTTCAACCTCTCATGCCCAAGGTTACCTGGCTAGTGAATACCTATTCCAAATTTGAAACCCAGTTGAGATTCTCTTATCATTAGTTATCTTCTCAAGCATTTTGTCTACCTCAAGCACCCAGCACAGTGCCTTACACATGGAGGTGCCCAATATGTCTTTGTGTAATTGAAATGAATCAGAGCCCCTGGGGAGATAGTGCTTTGAACAGGTATATTTTGACTAGGAGTTGAAATTGAGTAATACAAAAGGCTTAGACTGTGCTGAAGAATGAGCTGGGTTAGTGCATCACAGAGGGTGTAGGGGGCTTTGGAGTTTCTCTATTAAGAAAATCGTACCTCCCATAGTAACACTGAGGGAGGTGGCTGAAAACATCTTCTGTCTCCCTCACAGCCTCCCTCCTTGGGCACATCCCGAACTGTAGACCCCTTCATCCTGGATGTCATCACCTACTATGTTCGCATGGGCACTCAACCTATCTATTTGCAAATCTATACAGTAAAGGTAAGCTTTCCACCTGGGGCTCCAAGGATACCATGGCAGCCTGCTGGACCCCAGGATCCCACTACCTTGGCTCTGGGGAAACACAGGTTGCCAGCTGCATATCATAAAATCACCCAGACTCTCTTGGTTGTTAACTTTATCTTCTTAATCTCTGGATTTCTGTGAATGCCCATTTTTCATGCCTCTGCCTCTAGCTTCCTGTCTTACTGAACTTTTATCACTCTGCATCCTGTGGTAGACCTTTTCTTTATTGCCTTCCTGATTTTGACTTAAATGAAGGAGTTAGGCCCTTTCCTTGATTTCCAAAATACAAAGCAAAACAACACAAAACAAACAAATGAGATTAGATAGCTGTCACTGCCCTTCAGCCAAAGGTCCCCAGTAGCACACCTGTAGCTGAGCAGAGTTGGGTTTCCTGACTTGCTGCAGTGAGGGGGAACACACCATGGAGAACCATGAGGCATCTCAGGAAGAGGCTGTTAGAAAGAACTTATTATAGGATTTGGGTTCCTGCTGGGTGATTTTGAAGAGAGTTCCCAAAAGCTGGACTCTTCTCTGGGTTGGATGCTGTCAGGAAGCAGGAGTGATTCTATGGCTGGGGAATCTCAGTAGTTCTTACCATTATTCTTTGACCCTAAAAAGCAGAAGCCACTTATATTTGCCAAGATAGGAGGGTAGGGGGAATGACCCACATAGAATTTCTGTTTTTGCCTGTGTTCAGACATGATTGTGGCATGGTCTGGTTTCTTTCTTGACCCATTATAGTCACAGAATGGCCTTGCCTAATAATGTTGGCATCTGTGAAATTGTTTATGGTCAACAGGAAAACACTAAGTCCTCATTGTGAGTGCTAGGCCAGCTCCCGGCTTCTGGCGGCCACTCTTCTCTCTCTCCATCCCTGTTCTCAAAAATCCTGTGGCCACTCTTCCTTGTTGTTCCAACATCCTCCCTCTTACCCCATCCACACCTTGCCTCACCCTTTTTTATCTGTCTCTCTTCCCTCAGGAGCCACTCCTCCCCCCAAATTTCCTCCGAGTCTCACTGAAAGCAAATCAGCTCACTAGCCCTTCTCTTGCACAGCCCTGGACCTCTCTGTGCATGTGGAGGACTCAAGTTCTCCTCTCTGGCTTTCTCTTACTCGTGTCTACAAGAGATTCGATAACCTCCATTATATGAATTTTGTCCCTTGCTCCTGTCATCCCCATTAGTAGTGGTTACAGGGAGTTTGGGTTTCAGTAATAGTTTTTCCACTATTTATAAATATATTGTTATAGATATGATATATGGATAGATATATGGACAAAGTCAGATTAAGTAATCATTGGGTGTAGCTTAAAATCTAATATTGAAAGGTGGGATGGGAAGGAAGACCCCTGCCCTGCCTCTAGACACTCCAAACCATCCACATCCTCAGGCTCTGGGGGTTGGAAGTAGGAGCCGCCTCTGGCAGAGAGTTGGCCTCTAACCTCCATCCAACCTCCCTCCCTGCCTCTCTCCCTCTAGATCTTCTTCGGTGACCTGAGCCAAGACTCTTCAGAGGATATTTTTCTCACTGAGCTAAAGGTGAAGATCCAAGACTCCAAATTCCCCAAAGGTAAGCATCTGTTCCCCTCTTTTCCAAAGCTCGCCCTGACTCAGCTTCCCCTAACTGCATTTCCAGAAGGTCCTCCCTCCTCTTACTTAGTGATGCCCCCATTCCACTTTCCCTGAACACTAGGGTACCCTCAGCTCCTTCCAAGCTCATCTAGACTGAAGGGCAGCCTGGGCCTCCTGAGGTGCTGCCTTTTCACCTAGGGACAGATGCTGTGAAAATTCTGCAGCCTAGGCTCCTCAGTGAGGTGGAGAAGATGGTGGAGGCAGGGGAGAGGGGACACCTACATTCAGCCTCTTCTCATCTTTCCTTAGATGGTTTCTCACCCAGGAGGAGAGGCATGGCAGAGGGCCCAGGGGCTGAGCTCTCCATTTGCTACCAGAAGGTCAGTGGAACGGGCATCGTCAGGAGGTAGTCAAGAGGTACTGCTGTATGGAAGCAGGTGTCAGGAACATGTGGGACAGTAGGGGTGGGGGGATGCGGATAGGGGGAAGCAGACAGAACCAGAGGAAGCTTCTGCTTTTTTCTTGGCACTGCCCCCAGTTTCCTAGCCTTCAGAGAGTTTTGCAGAGATGTGAGGGTTATGACTGTTCTTACATATAGACAAGGAGGGGATCTGATTTTTAAAACAAGGGGGCTATCCCCTTGCTCAAAAATACCTTCCTCACTAGCTGACCAGATGCATTGGAGATGGAGTCCTTTGGGTCTAGAAGGCTGCACATGCTCCCTGGGGCTAAGAGCGCTCTAAACCCGTATCCCCTAGCCCCTTATGGGACATTAGTGACACAGAAAGGCTCTTGGGGCAGGGACAGAAAGCAAGACTGCTGACATGAGGATGCATGGGGATACGGTTGTCCTGAGGACCCCCATCTGTGCCTACATACTCTTCCCTAGGCCCTGCTTAGCCACCGGACCCAAGAAGTCGCCGTTTCGCTGCGTGCCACTGGCCTGGTCCTGAAGGCCCTTCCAGCCAGTGACACTGAAGGTGAGGAGCTGGAAAATCAGAGCAGAGAAAAAAGGGACAAGAAGGGGAAAGCTAGGGGCAGGGGGAGAGGAAGAGGGGTTCAAGTGATAGGAGATGCAGTGAGCCAGGTGAAGGAGGCCTCCCGCTCCATCCCTGAGATTGTGTAATGTTGTTGAGCTCCCACTCATGCTAGGCTCAGGACTGGGCACCAGGCTGCCTGGGTGAAGCATAGTTCCCGCCCTCAGATGCTCACTATTGAATAATTCCTGCTCTAGCACTGAATTACACCTCTGCAGCCTGATGAGATACAAGCTGGAAGGTGGAGGGACCACATGGAGGAGGTGTAACTGGCCTCAGGCTTCTGCATTGGGCCTACAGAGCCAGTTGAGTTTTGTCTGGAAAATTTTTATTTTGAATATTGTTCCATGGGGCAGGTACTCTCCATTTCACAAAAGGCATCACTAGTCCAAATTATCTAATTCTGGCTAATTATCTAAATATATACATATAGATAAATAGATAGATAGATAGATAGATATGTATGTATGTATGTATTAGATAATAAGATAGCTATCTAATGATCTAAATCCAAATGTAGATAATAAAAATACCTATTTATGTGCAGATAGTTATATGCATAAATTATAAACATGAGTTCTTGTTAGCTCCCTGGTCTCCTGGAATAAAGGTTGGTAATGTGGATTACTAACCATTGCACACATTGATCAGAGGCCAGGTAATGTTCTATGTCAAACATATTAATTCTTTTAAGCATATTAACCCAATGAGATAGGTATTATTATTATTAGCAACTTTTTACTCGAGAGGAAACTGAAACAAACAAAAAAATAACTTGCCCAAGGTCTCATCTCAGGTGGTCTCACAGAGGAGCCCATATTCCTCACTACTATGCTCTACCACCTCCTCTGTGATTGCCAAATCTCAACAGACCAGAACTAAGGGATGTGACTCACAGGTGCTTGTAGAAGATCATTTCAGAGCAAATAAACTTGACTCAGGCAGAGATGTATCTTGTTCACCACTCTACCCCTAGTGCCTAGAACATATCCTGGCACACAGTAGTAGATACAAAATAAATATTTGCTGAATAAATGAAGTGCTACTTTTTATCCAAAATTTTGTTTTAAAAAGAATGAATGAATCTGGAATATTCCACAATAAACATAGAATGAAAATACACATTAGCCAGGCTGGAATGCCTATGCAGAAGCTGTCTCTGATCCTTCCCTCCTCTCCCGTCCAACTACGAGTAATTGCTCTGACTCTAAAATCCTCTATGGCTTTGCTAGCATTCCAGTTATGACACCTGTCTGTCTATAAGGCATTCGTGTTCATATATGGGTACCATCATTCCTAAATTTTCTTGGCATTCGGCACAAAGAAGAAACTAAAGAAATAATTATTGATTTGATCATTTCCTGATAAAATGTCTTCCAGGTGGGTTGAATTGTGGATAATTATGTGAAACTCTATCACAGAGAAACATTCTTTACTTGTAGGTCTTTAACACCACAAAGGAGACATGTGACTTTGGCAATAGCTCTTAACCAAGAGGTGATCACAGAGTTGGTCAAGAGTGCAGATTCTAGAAACTTAAAGGCAGGCTTCGAAGCCCAGCTTTACCACTTACCACTATGTGACCTTGGGCAAATTACTTGGGACCTCTCTACATGTTTTTCACTTCCAAAATGGAGATGAAATACTAATTTATGTGCACATAGTAAACTATAATGTTAACTCTTATTGTTAAAATTGTATTTCTTCTATTTCCCTCACAAGTCTCCCGCCAGCCCCCCACCCCCCAATTGATGCCTCCTACAAGTTTTCCACCACAAAACCCTATCAGAAGTGATTCCAGAACCCTCCTCAGAGGCATAAACATTTAAGAACCCTCCTTTGTCGTACACAACATCCCGGGCTAGGTGTTCCTTCGGTTTTCAATATGCTCAGTAGCTGCAGTGAAGTTCAACAGAATTTCTCCCACTGAAAAAGGGGTGCAGAAGGAGGTGAAGAAAGAGATCTGGGTTGGCGATAGCTGCTAAGCCTGAAGATGCAGAAACTTTGTAGTTTCACCAGGGAAGAGAGAGGGATGATCAGGAAGAAATTAAAGTTTGGCTAGAACCAAGGTGGAGTCCAGAAAGTCCAGGTAATGGAAGGGGGTTAAAATAGGAGGTTGAGATGGGTTCATTAAGGTCTTCTTAGGACCTAGAATAGGACCTAGAATCTTGAACACCACTTTCCTGGAGGCCCATTCAGAGCTGCCCAACCCCCATCTCATTCCTCCCAGTTCCAAAGCCCACTCACTGCCCCCCATCGTTGCTCCCCTTACAGACCACATGTGCCTGAATGTCAGTGTGATAGAGGTGGTCAAGTCATCCAACCTGGCTGGAAGGTCCTTCTCTGTAAGTACTGGGTAGAATGGGAATTGAAGATATTCAAACAGGGTTGGTAGCTAGGAGACCAGAGGTCAGAGAAAGGGATTTGTGAGCCTTTCTGAACCTTTGCTATTGAAGCAGGTCTTCTTGTTGGAAAGAATCTGCTTTCCAATCAGTCGGTTCAAAATATTAAACATCACCTGACATGAATAAGGCATTATAAGAGTTAAGGCCTTGCCTTCCAACTGCTGACCGCCCGAAGACCCAGATAACTACAAAATGCACACACATCTGGCATCTCTCTGCATTACACAAAAGCCAGACTTTAAACAATAGCAACCGAACTTTTGACCAAATCACACCACCTCTTTCAACTTCATTGCCCTACAGCTGCTCTTTGCCCTTTGCCTTTGCCCTTATTGGTACTTATCAATATGGATTCCCTTACTGATACAGACAGGGCTCACCCATTTTCTCCCTACCTGATGACCTCTCTGGACTTTATTTTCCTAGTCAGCTGGACCTTGGACCTCATGATTACACCTGAAAAGTGTTCTCAGATACTCTCAGTTCCCCCATACCACCAACCAGGCAGACACTCACTTTAGATCAAGCCGTCTCCTCAGTCTGTATGCTCAGTGGTTGAATGTTTCTGGATTAAATCCAACAACCATGTAGTTTAGGGCCACAGCAAACTCATGGCCACTCCCCTCAACCAGATCCTTGGCATCACTCAACACATTTCTCTTCCATCTCTTCCTGACTCTTCTCCATCTTTCCAGTTCTCTTTTCTCCAGGTTTGATCTCTCCCTCACTACTGCTCCTTTATTTTAGCCTATAAACATATTCAAGTCTTTTCCATCCTAGAAAGAAAAATCTCTGCCATGACCCAACTATCTCTCTGGCTACCACTCAATCTCATCCTTCCCTTCTCAGTCAAGCTTCTTGAGAGATATCTCTAGAGGAGTTTCCAGTGCCTTACCAATGACTGTCCTACCCACTACCATCCGCTTACAGCCCGCCCCATGGTGGAAAAGTCACCACCATGTCACCAAGACCAAAGGTCACTTTTTAGTCCTTATATTTTTTATTCTTTTTAAAATAATGTTTTAGCTTATAAACAAAGGTTTTCTTATTTAGTTTGGGAAATACAAAGAAGCACAAAGAAGTAACTCTACTAGTAATCTCATCATCTAGAAAGGATGACTATTAATATTTTGAAGTATAATTTTTAGGTATCCAGCCTTTTTTCCCTATATATTTTTACATAATTGATAGCTAGCTACATACATACTGGTCTGTAACTTGATGTTTTTATTTAAAAATATACTAAAGCATTATGAATATGGCTTGTCAGGATCTTATGTCACTATGTTTTATGTCATTAAACATATTTTATTAAATATTTATTACATTATGGCTACATATGCCTGCATAATTATTTAGTTGAGTTTTTATAATACACTTAAGTAAGTTCTCATTTTTCACTATTATAAACAATACTGTGAGGAACATACTTGGGGATATATATGTGCTGAAAATCATTGTTATGCCTTTTTAAAAAATGCCTACAAATGATAACACACTCAAGTGGTACCCATATTTTTGGATTTTTTATATATTTTGCCAAATTGCTTTCCAGAAAATCTATACCGAATTTCATTCTCACCATAGTGTTTGAATGCTAATTTTGCTGCACAATGAACACATTGGCTAATTTTTTTATCTTTGCAAATTTGTCAAACTTTTCATTATTTCAATTTTTATTTCTTTCATTACCGATTGATGAAGTGGAAGAATTTCTTATATTGATTGATTATTTCTATTTCTTCATTTGCGTATTTCCTGTTTATTACACTTATCCTAAATTAATATTGTGGCGTCTCTATTTTACAATATGCAAAGACTAATCCCTTATTTGTCATGTATTTTGGAAATACTCTTCTCAGTTTGTCTTTTAATGTTGTTTATGATTTATTTTACCTAAAATAGGTTTATATATTGAGATAGCAAAATCTACTAATTGTTTTTCTTTGATGATTTCTGCCTCTAGTATGATTATATGTTACATATGTCTGATTCTTTTTCAAACACCATATTTCATCAAATTAAGAGATATCATATCAGTAAGAAAGAAAGAATACTTCCCCAACTATGAACAGTGCTTTCTTATCACATTGGTTGCAAAATACTTCTTAATTTTGGAGATGTTAAAATATTTCTCATAGTTTTTATTCCTTTTCATATTCCTTTATCATTTTAAACATTTTTACTTTATAGTCTGATTTCTGTATTTACGTTATCTAAATTATTGGGACTGTAATCCTTCTATTTATTGGGTCCACTGACGCCCATGGTAGCTTAATTTCCTAAATGTTTCTTCAATAGTGAACTCATATTTGTTGAAGTTTTATCTGTGGGAAACCTGAGCGGAAAACTTGTCCTCCTAGAGAAATTCTGTACTTGCTCTTGCCAAGAGCCTCAGACCACATTTTGAATTAACTTCGTGGCTCATAAATTTCCAGACCATGCAGACAGTGTAAAATTGTACCCCAAATCCATATATGGACAGGTTTGTGGCTATGAATTTCCAGGGGAGACTTTTCGCCTTCACTCACAGCACAAACCACAGCAGACAAGCTTCCCTGTGATCTCCCATTGCTGCTTGTGCCTTTTTTCTAATCTAGTCTCTCACTGAGAGTATAACCTTCAATAGTCCTTGAAGGGGATCTGTTTTAAACCCCTGCCTCATTTGGGGCCCAAGACCTTGTCTCCTATCCTCCGTGTCTACTGAATACAAGCCCCTTGATTCTTGATATTAGCAAATGCCCCTGAGACAGCCAAACCCGTCTTCAATTTTGATATTTATTGACATTTTCTTCAGTGCCTGGCACATGATCAATTTTTTAATATCCTGAGACAACTAAAAATACATGCATGTTTTCTATCTACAGAATATAAAGTGTGATGTTTAGTTATCAAATCAAATACGTATTACTCTAATTTACAACTTTTTTGTCCACCTCATCTATTCAAAACTGAGAGAGGTTTGTCAACTTTCCCGCTATGATTTTGATTTTGTCAATTCTATCTCAGTTCTGAACCCAAATTTTCTTCATTTCTCATTACTGCTGCTGTGAAATATGATGCCTTCTTTGTATGAGACCCCTCTCTCTCTCTCTCTCTCTCTCTCTCTCTCTCATACTTCATTTCATAGAAGATTCTGAAGAATCACAAGCATATGCCATAGTGGGATTTTTTTCATTCATTATTTTGGATCTTTTAAGGATATTCTCAGTCTAAAGACTCAAATCCTCTGGTTCTGAGATATTTTCTATAGTTTTAAAAATTATTTCCTTCCTCTATTTGCTAGTCTATTTCTGAACTACAGACAGTCAGATGTTAGGCCTTCTAGAGTGATATTCTTATTTTCTAATCTTTTTTTCTCCCATTTTCCTTCTCTTCAAGTTTTGGGAGCTTTCTTCAAGTTCATTTACTGAATGTTTAAATTTCAAGAATTCGTTCTTGTTTTCTAACTATACATTTTAATAGTATTCTATTCTTGCTTCATTGATGCATTATCTTCTTTTTCTCTCTAAAGATAGTAATTATTATTTATTTGAAGTTTTCTTCTGCTCTCTCTATTGTGTCTATTTCCTGTGAATTCCTGTTCTCTGTTTGCTCGTTTTGGCCTCTTTTTTCTTTTTTTATGTTAGAGGTTCTCTCCAAATACATGGTATCCTTGGCTGCCTATTCACATTTAGAGTGAGACACTAAAAAGCTGAGTCAGGGGAGGGCTTCTCAGTGGGCAGTCAGAAGGCCATGATCCTTTCCATGGGGGGGAACCCAGATATCAGCATATGCACGTTTTTGCTAGGACAGTCTCGTTTTTCTAGTAAAAGGATCCTTCAGTCTCCTGCCTTGGGGAATGATGGGGTAGGGGATTTTGGACTGCTGGATCTGGGTTGGGTGAGGTGATTAGAGCGCTCATCATTCAGCAATCCAACTATATGGAGTAGAGCACTTCACTCCCTCCTTCTCTATTTGTGGTATCTGCAAGTCTGGAGTCTCTCTGGTCTAGTTTCTCTGGTCTCTGTGGCAGAGAGAGGATTCATTGCTTGGCTGCTGAGGGTAGAAATGGGAACCTGAAGTCACCTAATTGTTCCTCATACCAACTTTCAATAAATTCTCTTTTTTAGGCTCCATCTTATTCGCACTATCTCTGGAAACTGTGGCCTCCAATTCATGAAACTTTCTAGAGTTTTGATCCTTATGTTTGACTTTACTCTCTCTGTACTCAAATATATATTATAGTTTAGGGCTTTAGGTATCTTCTAGTTTCATTAAAGATGCACTTCCTTGTTTTGAGGCGAATTATAAAAAGGAAAATGAGAAAATACATACTGCCATTTTAAAGTCAGAAATCTTCATTCTTTTATTTTTAAAACGTTTAAATTTTATTTTAGCTACGCTTCTTATAAATAGGATTTTATCCTGACTCAGTCTGAAAGTCTTTGTTTTCTAATAAAGAAGAGTTTAATCCATGACACTAACTTTATGTGCTATTTGATCTTACTTTGCCATCTTACGCTGTGCTTTCAGGGGTTTTTAAAATGTTTTTTGCTGTTTTTTATGTTTCTTTGTACTCAGGTTTTGTTTGTTTATTGTTCCCCCTCTGATGATTTGGAAATTATATGTTCTTTTTCTATCAGCGGTTACCCTTAACTTGAAAATATGTTTGAAAGTACATTTATATGTTAATACTCCAATAAAGCTAGCTTGCAACACCCATGGACGTTCTCCCTGGTTTTCTATTCCTTTGATCAGTTTTGAATGACTTCCACCATTAGAGCTGATGCCCTGTCCTCTGAGTTTTTAAGCTTCCTAAATCTGTGAATCCTGAGACTACTTTCTTGTAGTTCTTTGATGTGTCTCATTGTTACTTCTTGGCCTCTTTCC